GAAAAGATTTGGTTTTGTCACACATTTGAAAGGAAAGCTGGGTGAGAGGGTCGAGAGAGGGAAAAAATAAAAAGTTCAGGCTGGTACATCTGAAGGCAGCCCAAGGCTTCAGTTCCAAATGGAGCCACTGGAGCTGTTTACAAATTGGAGGTAAAATCGTGCTTTCCCATTTCCCCTAAAACCCCTGCTTACCACTTGCCAGAGAAAATGAGCAGGAAATTAGACAGAGGAACTCATCTTGCTGACTGAGAAAAATGCAGTTGATTCAACTCTGAAATTGAACCACTGAGATGATAAACTCCCTCCCTAACAAATCCGGGTTAGAATCAGGATGTGGCCCTTTCCTTCTCTCACCGGCTATTTTGGGTTATTTTTGCTGAAAGCAGATGTAATTGTTAAATGTGCAGATGTTACATTTAGTTCTTCCCGTCTTGGTTGTGTATCTCCCCCCCCTTTTTTTTAATAAGAAACAAGTTTAATTAACAATGACACATACTTTCTTTCCTAGGGCCTGTCTGGCCTGGTTTATAATGTTTCTGTTTGGGGTGGGGGGCGGGTGGGGACTTGGATCTGAACGTTTCTCTGACATCCTCTTCAGAGTTCAGGGTTCCAGTAGGGAGCTCTGTGAACATACCCCGTCCGTTCTTCCTTAGAAGAAATCAAGATGCCAAGGAACCACTTTAGCACTTAAAAAGGAATGTGGGCTTATGGGTGAAGGCAGGGCTCAGAGATCGTTGGCCTCTGAAATGTAGGAGGGACCAGAGAAGCAAATTAGAGAACAGAGCTTTGGCTCCAAGGTGAATACCTACCTCTCATGGAGAGAGTGGTCTGTAGCCTCCCAAAGTCACGGGGAAATCCTAGCTCCCAGTGTGATGATATTTGGACGTGAGGCTTTTGGGAGGTGATTGGGTCATGAGGGTGGAGCCCTTTGGGATGAGATTAATGCCTCTATGACAAAGGTCCTGGAGAGCTGCCTTGCACCTCCTCCACATGCAAGAACAGAGCTCCTGTAAACCGGGAAGCAGAGATTCATCACACATTGAATCTGCCAGCACCTTGATTTTGGGCTGCCCAACCTCCCAAACTGTGGCAAATGAATGTCTATTGTTTATAAAGCACTCAGGCCATGGTATTCTTGTCATTGCAGCCCAGAGGAGTTAGGCACCACCTCAGCAGAATAATAACTCACTTTTATTGAGATGTATGCCAGGCACTGTTCTGAGTGCTTGCCATGCATCGTCTCATTTAATTCTCATTTCTTCTGTAAGGAGGGTATTATTGCTGGGACACCTGCAGGTGAACAAGCCAAGGTGAGAGAATCAAGTCACTCTGTTCGCAGCGAGGGAGAGTTAGAACTGCAGGCAGGGCTGGCCTGTCTAATTCCAGACATGTTCCCATCATCTTTCCCAATTTTCTCCCTTTCTCCCTTTCCAAGTCCCCCAGTTTCCACTTAGGGACAAGTGTGGTTCCAGTGGAGCTAATGCCAATCCAACGCAGGGTCGGGTTGCCTGACCTAGGCTAAGCCAATCAGTGTGGAACCAAAGGGACTGGTCGGGAGTGTCATGTGACCCAATCGTAGCTCTCAGGATGAATGCAGGGCTTGGGGACAAAGGTGTCTCTCTCCTTTGGTAGCTGGACCAGTGTGAAACAATTTGCTCTTACAGGAGAGAGGGTGAAACCAATATTCAGGGAGGCCAGAGGTGCAAGAATCACAGAGAAATAGAGGTGAAGCACTGATGACAAGTGTGAACCTCTGTAGCAAACCGAGGGTGATGCCAGAGATGTCTGGGAGCTCAGCAATCACAGAGGTCAAGGAGGTCCCTGTATGTGGAATGTCGGTTGACGGTCTGTTCCTTACGCCCAAACATTTTAACTGATGTGATCACACTGCCCAAGTCAATCTTTAGCTTTCTGCCTGGGCCCTATCTAGTCTTGGGCTTGGGCACTGGTATTTCCTTCATATATATATATATATATATATATATATATATATATATATATATAAAATTTAAATTTATATTTATATAAACATAAAGTTATATGTATAAAATATATATTTGTATAAATATTTATATAATATATACATTTATACAATATAATATAAATATAGTATAATATATAATATAAATATATTATATATAATAATCATATATTATATTATATATTATATATTATATATTATATTTAAAATATAATATAAATATAAATATGACTATATTTATATAATATATAAATTTGTATTATATTGATATAATTTACATAAATTTATATATATTATTTTATATTTATATATGTTTTATATTTATATATATTTTATATTTATATAAGATTTATATATATTTTATATTTATATAAGATTTATATATATTTTATATATATATATATATTTTATATATATATATAGACCCTGGAACAATACACACAGACACATCCACACACACAATTAACCATCGAACAACATGGGTTTGAACTGTGAGGGTCCACTTACATGCTGACGTTTTTCAATACAGTGCAGTATTGTAAATGTATTCCCTCTTCCTTATGTTTTCTTCACATTTTCTTTTCTCTAGCTTACTTTACTGTAAGAAACAATATTTCATAAATAGAACATGAAAAATGCGTGTTAGCTGACTGTGTGATTGGAAAGGCTTCTGGTCAACAGTAGACTCTTAGTTAAGTATGTATGTATGTATTTATTTATTTATTTATTTATTTATTTATTTATTTATTTATTTATTTTTGTAGTTAGGTTTTTAGAGTCAAAAGTCATACGTGCATTTTCAGTTGAACGAGGGCTTGATGCCTTTAATGTCCGTGTTGTTCAAGGGTTAACTGTACATGTAGATACAGGGAGTTTCCTCTACAATATAAGGAGAGGGGGGATCCCTGGGTAGCTCAGTGGTTTAGTGCCCCCTTTGGCCCAGAGCCTGATCCTGGAGACCCAGGATCGAGTCCCACGTCGGGCTCCCTTCATGGAGCCTGCTTTTCCCTCTGCCTGTGTCTCTTCCTCTCTCTCTCTCAATCTCTCTCATAAATAAATAAAATATTTAAAAAAATAAGGAGAGGACTATGGATGCCCAAATGACTGGAGCTGTCTGATTTCCACAGGAGATTTTTGGGAACATAGCATCATCTCGAATCAAACGGAGTTGGTTTTTTTTGTTTTTGTTTTTAAGGGAAATCTATTGAGGAGAAATGTCTAGAATATTTTATAGTGATTTTGAAACAGCAGCAACTCTCCTTATGAGAAAATGAGACATAATCTAAGTTGTCATGCACCCACCGCACTTGGCCTGCCAAGCCGCCCCGCCCGGAGGTGTCCAGCCCTGCCTCCCCTTCCCCGCCTCTCCTTCCCCGGATGGCCGCTCCAAACTTCATCTTCTTTTACTGTGTTTGCCAGAGTGTCACGTAGCAGGAATGATTCTGGCATTTCTCCTGCCAAGACGGATGGAGCCAGTGAAAAACATTCTCAACTTGCAGGAGTGAGACTCATAGTGAAATTTAAGGCCCATGATGGGACATTAAGGACAAACACACCTTGGGACAGAGAAACACTTTCTTTTCCTCTCAAATCAATCCTTGAGTGCAGCTGCTGGGTACTGTGTGTACTCAGTCATGGCTCGGGCCAGCCCTGTGCGTGGAAATCCCTGCTTAACCCAAACCCATAGGTTTGAACCTCTTTCTCCGTTTCTCTCTTTCACACACACACACACACGCATGCACACATGCACATATGTACACATATTGTCAATGAACTGCAAGAAGATGACAAAGAACAGGAAGGGGAAGGGAACAGATGAATTGGAGAATAAAAAGTAAGCTTATTTCCTATCCCTTGTCCCTGCCTCTGGGAGGCTGTGGCTGCTGTCCTGAGCTGTCGGAACGAATGAGCACTTGGAACCTCTGCACGGCCTTTGCTGCACGTGAGGATACTCACGGGAAAGGGAGTAGGGGAATGTCTCACTAGAGGGAATGGCAAAGGATCAGAAATTCATTCTGCTGTTTGTCTGCATAACAGGATCACCCTCGTATGTGTTCAGAGGTCTGCTCCCCGGCCGGGCATAACCACACTATGCCTTCTTTCTCGAACATTAATGGGTGTAGGTAATGGCACTGCTATCATTTTGTTTCCCCATAACCCCAAAATCTTCAGATGCTGGTTTGAAAGTTTTAATTCACCAGACATTTACAGCCTGCTATTCTGGGTAGTTTACTTATGTACTGATGGTAATTAATAGCAATGAATATTTTCAAACTCTGGATTTTTCCCCTTTTAATTGCTAACACAGTGGCACTTTTATGGATAATAGAGACCTGCAAATGATAAAGCCAACCTAGTCACCTGACCCCAGTCCCCCAGGAGGAGCAAGAGGGCCAGATGTTGGGCCCACGGACACTACAACGATTGGGATGGGGAGGAGGGATGACGTCAGGGCTGTGCAGCCCCCCGTGCGATTCTGGACATCCTGGGACAGAAAAAGACAGTGTTGCCAGACTGGCTCTGACAACGGACAGCCACCTGCAAGCTTATAGAGGCACTGAAGGTGTTTCTGTATGCAAATGAAGGTGTCCAGTGATTGACATGGCTTTTTAATATTTCAGGGGACCGTGAGCTCAGCGCTGTCTGCTTTGCTTCCTGGAGTAGTCTTGGTGCTGAGCACAGGGCCTGGGACTTACGTGTTCAGCTGGCACTCCCCGAGAATTAATGAGAGCCACGGCATGCTGAGTGAGGGACAGCCATGCTTCGGGGATGATGATATAATGAGGCTTGGTCAAGCAGGACTTAGATGCCACTCCTTTGTAGGGTTTTATTGGCTCCTCAGCTCTTGGAGCAAAAGGGCCTGGATCTTGCTCAGGAGAAGGAGGAGGATGAGGGGCACATTTCGCCAGCACTCTGATTCCAGCCAGGCGGCCATCCTCCCGAATCCCTCAGAACTACTTAAGCTGCACCAGCACCTGGCACCCTGTCTGGAGGAAATTACATTTTAACTACCATATTTCCCTAAGAGCCTTTGAACAAACCATGAGGAACAACTGTGGGCCAGCATTCTTTATTCTGGGTGACTGGGGAAGGGCTTCCGAGGAGCCGAGGAGCAGGTGAGCCATCTGGAGGAGGATGGGCCCGCTGGATGGCGTTGTGGCTACCAGGACATGCCTTAGAAGAATATACACCTGTGGACTCTGGGGACATCTGGTCCTGGGGCTAAACTCTGCATCTGCACCCCTGGTGAGCCTCTCTGTGATCACCTGGTTTTTCTTACAGAGCAGGTTCAGCTGGAGCAGCTCTCGGTTCCCACCAGACACAGGGTGCCCCAAGTTTCAGCTGTTCAGGAGCAAATGACGGTGGCATTGGCACAGGCCACAGTGGAGCGGTTTTCATTATACAGTTCCAGCAAAACCTGGTATTCTCCCTGGAGGGGACACAGGGAAAGCATGAGATGTGTGGCCCACAAAGCAATCGATCATTCAACAGGTGGTCATCGAACACCTTCTATGTGCAGCATTGTTTTAGACACTGGAGATAAAGCAGAACCAGGCAAAGCAAACTCACTTCGTGGAGCTTACATGAGCTCATTGGGGCAGCCAGACAATGCACACGATACTTCAGGATGTGCGCTGTGCATATGCTGATGCCAGAAACAGAACAGGGGAGGGGAGGGGAGGGGCCACAGGGCTGGGCCCTGCAGGGCTGGGTGGGGCTGGTCTAATGCTGGTTGGCAGTTTCAACTAGGCTGGTCAAGTCAGTCCCTGTTACAGAGGTGGCCTTTGGGCAAAGACCTGAAGAAGATGGGGAGCACACCAGCTGCTCTGAGGGATGGCACCCTGTGTTTGAGGAAGACTGAGGATGCCCATGGGGCTACAGGGAGAGAGAACCACAGGAGGAGAGAAAGGACATGAGACAGTGATGGCCTCACGGGCCATGGTGAGGACGCTGGCTTCCACTCTGAAAGGGACACAAGTCATGAGAGCACTTTCCCCAGGGGAATGACCTGATGACACGTACATGTGACTACGATCCTTCTGGCCGCCCACTGAAAAGAGGCTGTAGGGGCCGAGAGTGGAAGCACTTGAGACCAGGTAGGAGACCACCCTGACTGCAGTAGGTGCAGAGATGAGGAGAGGGATAAGATTCTGGATGGAGGTTGAAGGAAGAGCCAATAATGATTTGCCAAGGAAACTCATGTGGGTGGCAGAGAAAGGAAGGGGCTGAGGGTGACACCGGAGATTCTGGCCCGAGCAACTGGAAGGATAAAGTGTCATTTGCTGAGACGGACAAGACCTCTGCTGAAACAAGAAACCGAAATGCTCTATCAGAAAAAGTATTGCCACATTGTAGAGTTCATTTCTGGCAACAACACTCCACAGAGGACTCTCTCCGTCTGTGGTTAGTGGTTGGGCTGAATGGGAAATTGCAGAAAAACCTATGTGTTTGTTCAGTGCCAAAGCCCTGCCCCAGCCCTCAGAGGCCATGTGGGGTGGGGGTGACATGCCTGTGGGTTCACCAGTCTGGAGAGAGATGCTCTGAGCGGTGGGAGGTGTGGTAAGCAGGCAAAGAGCCCAAGACGGAAGGATCTCAAGAGATTCCTGGCACATCTTTGAAGGGCCTGTCACCCAAAGAAGAAAAGGGGTTTAATCTGTATAAGCCAGAGGGAAGGAATAAATCAGACCACTGGATGGAGGTTGCATGAGAGGCAGTTTTTGTGAGAGAAGAATGACTTTCTACCAATTAGTAGAGGCCCAGGAGCGAGCGGGTTCCCCAGCAATGAAAACTGCATTTGGCAGAGCCAGGCTGCACTCTGGACGGTAGCTGGGGTGAGACGGGTGCTCAGAGTGCTCCCTAGGGCACCGTTGAGCTTGAGGATCTGTGGTAGCAGAGGCTCCTGTGAGGCTGATGGCCCAGACGTGAGCAGCTCTGATTTCAGGAGTCTAGGAACGGAAGGAACCAAAGCAGGATGAAGGATAGAGTTCAAACGTGCACCCCCTATGTCCCCTTCATCATCACCTTCTTCACTTTCGGGGTCCATGTGCCTTGAGGCACACACCCTACAAAATTACTAAAAACCTAATGAATTTTTCATTATTGCTTTAGAAGCCTAAGAAAATATGTTATTTGCAGGAAGGTCTCTAGATTATGAATTCCGTACCTACATTGCGTACATGCATACAAACCTGCATACGTACAAGATATGCATACTCTGGTTTAGGAGGCAAGAGTATTTGGGCAACTGTGTTCACCTGCAGTCAGGTGGAGGGACTAGCTAGGAGGATGAGAGGGGTGGAGGAGGGACAAGGGACACACGGCGGCAGCCTCTCTGCTGTTGAGGAGAGCGCTGAATTTGTGAGTCAGGAATTTATAGTTGTATCCTTGGCACTTACACAGATTAGGCTGTACCTACAAATTGTTGTCCAGCACTTTGGAAGCCCAAAGGATCTCTAAATTCTAATTCAGAAAACAGCAGTCATAGAGATGCAGGGCTCCAGGCAGGACTTCGGTTGGGGCCAAGGGACTGGCTGTGCTAAAAAGAAAGTCACACCAAGACACTGAAGATTGACTACTGAGTGGAAAAGTTTCCAGCCAAGCAAGGATGGAATTAGCACAGAGCCCATCTCTGGGGGATTTGATGGGAGGAGGGGATCCGGGGCAGGTCTTTTAAAACCAGAAGACTTCACACTGTCTCTGTCCCATATTAGGAAGCAAAGTCTCTGAGCCTTGCTGGCTGGCTGTCAGCCAGGGAAGCCTGGGCTGGCTGCAGCTGGTCCTCAGCCAGCGTGGGAGCTCATGTTGAGATTAAGGCCAGCAGCTGCCTCCGCTGCATACGTGACAGGTTGCATGCATCCCACTTGGGTTATGTCCCCTGTCGATTCTGGCCAGGTGTCAATAGTTTGGGCATAGTCAGACCTGGCCAGGTTTCTGCTTCCTAGGTTGAAATCACAGATGGAGACGAGGTAGGAGGACCAACCGAAGAGGACCAGGGGATGCTTAAGCAACCATGCCCATGGCCGGGATGCCTGAACCTGGCTTTGCCCTCAAGCTGGGCAACATCGCAGAGCACCATCACTGGTTGAAAAGAATGCAGGTCCTGCACTCACCCAAGCATCCTAGAGGAATGGAATAAAGCTCCCCCCCCCCCATTTCTATGAAACTTTTCTTTCAAAGGGATTTTGTGCCTTTAAGAAATTCTTTTCCCTTATATTTCATAGCAACTCCTAAAAAGCACTGCTTTTAAAAAAAAATCCAATAAGGCAAGATGAAAATCAATCAGATTTTAAGTCAATTTCCAGTGGGAGGGGAGGATGATGGATTCAGAAGGAATGTGGGGAAGGAGAAAAATTCAAATAGCAAGACTTAAAGAAAAAATTAACTGGGAGAATTTCGGCACCACATCCTGGAAATGAAGGGAGTTTGCAAGACTAATATTTTACTGGAAGGCCTGCAGGGAAGACGCTGGAGAACCCCAGAGGGGGAAGGTGTAGCTGGATACTTCCCATCTGCAAGAGAAACACTAGAGAATGTTCTAGAAACACAAGGGCTTGCACCTGAGGAACCCAGAGGCTTGGATAGAAAGGAAACTCACAGACACAGACACAGACACACACACACACACACACACACACACACACAAGAAATGAAACAAAATTAAACAAATTCTCTTTGCAGAAGGAGACTCATTTCCAGAGTCACATGGTTTTTTTTTTTTTTTTGAAAACTGAGATATATTGATATATATCAATGTATTACATCTTTGTGATTCCTTTTATGATGACCTATGAGATTTTCTCAGGGGTAGCAGATTGAAAATGCTTGTATTGCTTATGCCAGAGCTCCTTGAATTCAGCCATTTACTAAGGTCATATTATTTTGCGTAGAAGGAATTAGTGGAAAACTCAACTCTTAGCTGTGAGCCTTGCCCTTGAATACTCAGGATGGTGGCATTTTATGCACATGGTGGAAGCCCGTGAATAATAGTGCAAGGCTGGAACCTGGGTGCTGTTAAGCCTTCATAGTTGTGTGTGTTGCCTCCTTTCTCCGATGAGCCAGCCTCATCGACAGCCCACACCCTGGCAGTCCCATGTAGTCCTCACAGACACAACAATCCTACAGGACGGGACATGAGCATCCTCCTCTGTGGGAGCTGTTTGCCCAGAGGTTCCCTGAGAATCCAGCGGGACATAAAATATTAAATACTAAAATGGGAAAATCAGTGTTTAAGTGGCCACCATGAGGTAATGGCTTTATTGAAGAAGGGTTTTCTTAGTGATGGCAAATGGAAAAGAAGGGTTTTCTTAGTGATGGCAAATTTAATTCCTTCCTCCACCTCTCCTCCTCTAAGAAACTGCTCAATACAATAATTAAGTAACAGGGCAAAACAGAAAGCCAAGACCTTACCTCGAAAATTTCAAGTCCAGGATTATTGATGGGACCGGCATAATAGATCTGTTCTGAAACATACAAAACAGACATAATGTTACTCAATCATATGAACAAAAATGATTTATTCATATTATCGGTGCTTGCTATGCGCTAGGAATCCAGTGATGGAAAAGAAGGTCTCTATCTACACAGTTGCTCATGTTCTAAGGAGGACACTGACAACCTGTAAATAACTAAATAAGTCACTTGGGTTGTAGAAAGTGCTAGAAGAAGACATGCAGGCCGTGTGAGAGGCAGATGGTGTCATGGTTAAGAAGCCAGGCTGGAACCAGGCTGCGTGGGGTGAAATCTTGTGACTGCCTATGATAACTGTTTGATCTTGGATAGTCATTTCTCCTTTGGGCTCAGTTTCCTTTTTTAGAATGGGTATAATAATGACGATAACAGTGTCCACTTCCTCGAGCTCTGAAGAATCAAAGAGTTAGTCAATGTAAAGCACTAATAACAATGTCTGGAAAGCACTGAATAAATAATTTGCTAAAATAACGAACTAGGAAATGCCATGTTTGGTTGGGTGGCTGGCCAGCGAAGGCATCCCTAATGTTTAGTAGCTCTGATATGAGAATGGAGAGGGGAGATGATTGGGTAGCTTTACTGGGCAAGAATGATAAGGAGAGAAACTCCAGGCTGTTGGGAATAGATTCAGGAAAGCTTATGATTACAGATCATGGAATCTGAGGAGGGTAAGGAAGTAAATGAAGGCGGAGTGGGTTGATAATAGAAACACTGGCAAAGTCAGTTGAATGGAGATTCCATCATTGCTATCAAGGTCCTAGAATGGGTGTGCTGGAAGGTCATGGTGAAGCCAGAGGGTAGAAGCCTTGACACTGAGATTTCAGAAGTGGTGCATTTACTGATGGTGACAACACACAGGGTTGATGTGGGAGTCGTGGTTGAGGTGGAATGTTGTAAAACATTAGTGGAGGTCAAGCCGCTGGGACATTATGGGGATAGATGGACCATTCATGCCAACATTGAGTACCGAAACCTTGCCCAGCTCCTCATATGGTGATTGCCATCTTTGTGACTCCCAGGCCCTGTACATTTGACACATTACAAGCACACTGCCTAAGAGCACAGACTCTGGGGGCAGACTGTTTAAGCTAGGTTTGAATTTTGGCTCTTCTTATTATGAGTTGGGCAAGTCACATAATCTTTCTGTGCCTCAGTTTCCTCATCAGGAAGCGAGGTGGGCGTTATAATAATATTCACCTCACAGAGTTGTCATGAGCATCAAATGAGTTAATGCAAGTAAAGCTCTTTCCACAGTACCTGGGACATGGTGAGCCTGAGTGGTCAATGAGCGTTTGCCATTAATACATCACTGACCAGTCCACCCAATGGAGCATCCTCCCAATACAGGCCAGGTGCTGTGCCAGGTGCTAGGTAACAACAGTAGATGAGAATATTACACAAACCATTTGAATCCTTGGGCGCCCAGAATTGTTATCATTTGTTTACAGGCTGCCTCCTTCAGCAGCCTGTGCCTTCTTGTTTGCATAGCTCCCAGTACATTGCAAAGTCTAGCACACAGCAGGGTGCAATATAGGGTTCTTATAGGGGTTGTAGAATGAGCAGATCCAGAGCCAGGATGTGGGTTTGCCAACCAACTTCATTCCTGCTCCTGCTACTGGGATCCTCTCCCTGCTGGAAAGCTCTGGGCCTGGGTTATGCTGACACAAGATCCTGGAGCAGGGAATGAGCCATGGGAGTGGCAATCTGGTGATGAGGGTGGAGGGATGGTAGAGGATGATGGAGCTGAATAAATGCTTATTGGTTTATTGATGGCATTAAGTATTGAGCTCTTTTAAAGGTACAGTGACTTCCTGCCTCACATAGCTCCTGATATCTAACCACTGCTCAAGAAATATTTGGAGACTGACTGACCATACTCTCTCCATGAAAAGGACCTTTGGACCAGGGACAGCATGGCTAGTAAGTGAGCAGCTGCCCACATGGAATCATGTCAAGGGTGTGACAGTAACCTGTTTTGAAAAAGGCCTCTTCAGGCAATCTGAACCTCAACTTCTAACCAGGAGACCCATCCTTAGCATGGCCTTTGGCTTCTGTTAAATGCTCATGCCCCCAACATATCTATCCTTCCTTCCCATGGTCAATTTCTCATACTTTGCAAGGATAATGTGCAAACATGGTGGATGCCAGATGGACAACGTCCCTATTTCATTGCACTAAATGATCCATTTATTTTTGAAAGGAAATATATATTTGGTTGTGGATAGAAGCAAAAGTTTAATGCAAAGATATTCTTCTGTATGACGTGATTTTAAAAAGAGACATGTTGAAGTTCTGGATCTTATCCTTAAGAATCTTCCAGTGCCACTGGGAAAGATCCAGTGACTAGCTATACAGAAAGTTAACTGTGTAAGTGAGTGGTGTATGCAGGCAATGTATTTTTTTAAAATATTTTATGTATTTATGTATTTATTTATTTATTTATTTATTTATTTATTTATTTATGAGACACACACAGAGAGAACCAGAGACATAGGCAGAGAGAGAAGCAGGCTCCATTCAGGGGGCCCGATGAGGGACTCGATCCCTGGACTCCAGGATAATGCCCTGGGCTGAGGGTTGCGCTAAACCGCTGAGCCACCCAGGCATCCCACGGGCAGTGTACCTAACAAGTGCAGAGAGTTCAGAGGGGGCTGCCTGGGGTTCAGCTGGAGTGCTGGAGTGCTGCACCACCCAAGGGCATACCATTCATGTTATAATCTATGTGAGTGGTGGCCCCTGGAGCTGTGCAAGGCAGTGGCCCAGCTACCAGTATACCATTCCTTTTGAGGAAATTCTGTCTTCTCCAGTGGATATTCTCTGACCGAAGCCAGAACAATTTGAGCAGGAAGACAGAGACCCAGGGCCAATCTATTCTGGCAAGAGATGGCTTGTTTTATTTCAACTTATCAGTATCTAGGGCTGTTCACTTTCTGTGTGGTGCTGCAGCTTCTGTGACTCTCAGATAGCCTTTCAGAAAATCCCCTTGCTTTCGTTGGAAGGAATGGATTTCTGATGCTCACAACTCAAGGGCTATTGAATGCTATGGGCACGAACCAGTCAAAATCACTCACGCTGGCCATCAAGGTATGGGACACAGTGTGGCTCAGGAGCAGAACCCAAGAATGGGGAGTGTGTCTGTGCATGTCGGGTGTGGGTGGGTTCCCTTGGGCACATTTTCCCCCTGCTTCATGCTTCTACTGATTGTTCTAAGCTGGCATAGCGCAAATGCCTTGACGTTGGAAGCAGAAAGACCTGAGTTTATGACCCAGCTCTCCATTCACCAGCCGAGTGTCCATCCTGCAACTCAATTTCTGCATTTGCAAGATAGAAATGGGAATGTCTCTCCTGCAGTGCATTGAGAGGACCAGAGGGCTATATGCAAACTTGCTGAAAATAGTGGCATCCCCAGTCAGGGCAGAGCCAGTAGTTATTAGTTGTATTATTATCCAGTGGATGGGAAGAAGGCTAATGTAATGAAGACCCACTTGGATGCTGAGGAACATATCAGGTCTAGGTTTTGGAACCTTTGAGCAGAGGCAACAGCTGGTAGGTTCTACTGGTGTCTTTTGTTTTAAAAAAATGGATGAGGATAGCTCTTTGAAGAATAGCATTAGAATGATATCTAACATTCTACTATGCTCATTTTATGCTCCAAGATTTGCGAATTTGTTTCAAATGAAGAGGTTCTTTAGTGGGCAGAGAGGTTTTCATTCAATCTGTCTCTTATACTTTACAGTTTCAGTTGGACCTTTTGGAGGAGGGGTCTATGAAGCTCCTGAGAACTGCTTCAGGTAGCTCATGAAACTATCTTCTTCTTCTTCATTTTTTTTAACCTAATGAAATAACACCTAAAATTAAATTCTCGCCCCTTCCATTCTTAGATCCTCCCTGATTCTGAGATTCCTTTAATTAACATTCTCACACTCCAGTACTATAAAAAGAGCCCCAGTATATCTGTACCCACTCCTTCCTTTCTTCCATTTGAAATCTTTATCAGTTTTTAGTGTGCTGTGGATTAAAGAAATCCACCTCCCCGGTTCTGAACACATGAAGTCATTTCTGCGAATTGGCTTTGTTTTGACCCAGATCTTTGTGTGGTTGGCACATAATGTCTTTTACAGAAAGGAAATTGATTTTTAAAATGTGGAAATAAAAGGTCCCCAAAGGTTTTGGATTAGATGGAGGTGAGACTCAGGGCTGCCTTCCTGCTCTTACAGCCTTTTATCCTCTGGGGAGCAGCGCGGATGCCAGTCCGGAGGTGCCCCCTGAATGCGTGGGTTCTGAGGAAGCATTCTCTCCATTTCCTAGCCCTTCCGAGTATCTTACTGCAATTGCCTCCAGTCTTCCAAATTTATTACAAAAATGTCATCAATATTTAAGCACTATGAGGGTGCTCAACAGTGTAAAAATACTGAGAGTTATAATTTATCATAAATAGGCCAATTAGTATATTCAGAACAAAGTTTTAAAAAATGATCATTTATTTATTTTCTCAGCTTTGAGCCTTTTTCCTGCCTGCCAGGCCCAATTGAGGGGGCTCTTTGAGAGCTGTGTTGAACTAGGAGGACCCAGGCAGTGGTCCCACAGTGAAGATGGAATAGGGAGAGTGTTCCAAGCAGACCAAGAGCCTCATCTCTGGAGTGAGAGGGAGTGAGCACATTACTTCATTTTAGTGAGCTCTAAATATACTCTTCAGTCATCTCCCTGCCTCTGGGCATTTCCTTTAAGACACCCAAGTCTGGCAGATGGCAAAGGCCTGGGCATTGTTGCTCATCTCTTTCCTGATTTTAGCTCTGCTTTTTTTCAGCCTCTGACCCTGCAGGGTGTAGAAAATGCTTCCTGGTCCCACAGGGCACTGAGCTAGTTGCCGGTTAGGGCACTTATTTAAATACATAATGAGCTTGCCTGTGTGGGGACTTAGAGGAGTGTGCCCTGCCTCTGGGGGTAGTGTGACTGCAGACAGACTCCCCGTGGGCCTGAAAGCCTTGAGGTT